AAATTAAGACATTTATAGCAAACATTTTATGAAGAAAATCCCTTCTTCGTTTAAAATAAAAATAAGCGAAATCGGCCCAATTTCATTCAACCCTGCCTGACATGAACATTTTCTCCACGATAAGGCTAGTAGCCATTTCTAACAGATTTTGGGTAGCTTAGTCAAAAATGGAAACATATATACATATTTGAAATTTAAGAAAACAAGGCAAATAGCAAAATCGGCTAAAACGGCTAATTTTTTTCTGCAAAACGGCTAACAAATCGGCTGCAGGCTAAATCGAAATTTCTCCGGCTGTTTGCTATCGCAACCGGCTAAATCTAGCCGGAAAACGGCTAAAATGGCAACACTGATAACCAGATACCGAAAAAAATGAAGTGAGCGATATGAGAGGAATGACAGAAATATGTAGCAATTCCAACAACAAAACAACTAGCACAGTGTCGTATTTAGTTTGCTATGCTTTTTTGCAAAATATATATGTACATGGGTTTCGACGTTGCCTATTTTGCAGCGATAGGAAATTTTGTTTCCCATTTATTTTGTTGTTGTGTGTTTGCAAGTTATACAATCCGTGCTACGTGCAACGGCTTGGCAAGATTTCGAGAATACCCCTATTGTAGTTACGTTTAACTTCCAAAGGAGAAGATTTTTCGATAAGTAATTTTTTACCTTATAAGTCTAAGACCCTTAGAAGTAGAAAAACGGTAGAATCTCGACAGCAATTGGGACTCCTAGAATTTATAAATATTTTGTGAAATATGGATATATATGTATAAATAATTATATGAGTTGCGAAGGAGTGTTTTGACATTTTACAAATCTTAGCAGCAAAAAACGCTCCGCCAATATGCTGCATACCGGCCCACAGCGGGATTGAGAACAACGAAGACGCTGAAGAGCTGGAAAAATCTTCAACCGTTTTTGTGTAATGGAAAGTATGGATCGGCAACAAAGTTGAAATAAATCATATACATATGTACAGATGTTAGGAGAGGTTTATTAAAAATGGAAGTTAGAGGGTTAAAATGTTCTACTGAAGTATTAAGTAACAGATTTTGTTTCTGATCACATAATTTTTTCGGCATTTTTATACCTGTTTTCTCATACTTTTCCTTTCAGAGCCCTTCGCTTTAAAAGTGATTTCTCTTTATCATACATATTTAAATCATTTCAATGCGCGTCTCTCGAATTACTTTAATTGGAGCTTAATTACAAAAACAATAAAACTAAACAACAAATAAATATACATATTGTATACATTACATATGTGCAAATGTAAATGTGCATGGAAGTGTAAACTTTTGTATACAGAAGTGTGAAACTGAGCAAAATTGCGAGCAAACGTGTGCGAGATCACATCTCTTCCACCGCAGCACAGACCCTCTCCATGCGAACTTAATAGTGAACTTGGTAATGACAAATGTACATGAGTGCGAAGGTAGAAGCAAACTTTTTTTTTTATTTTATTTTATTTTATTGTATTTTATTTAATTTTATTGTATTTTATTTTTTCTTATATTTTTATTTTTTTGTCAATCCGCAGTCTCCAGCCGGCCTTTGTGCTTCGCTTTTCTTCATCATCTTTAAGGTTTTTTTACAATTGCAATTACACTTGTGTAAACATGTGTGAATACAAGCAGATCGACAACAATAAATGTAGCAAAGCAATAACATTGCTAACAAAAGTAATAAATTTCAGATAAATGTACTACATATACGTAGGTATGCATACATATGTATTTGTCCACATGTTTGTCAGCCTGTGAACGTTTGTGTATTTAATCTCGCAATCGCGCATCCAAATTACCATTTTTAAATGTGTCTGATAAATCTTGAATTGAAAGTTGAGAACTCAACGAGATCACTTCTCAGTTATATCTTTCGATTTGACGTGAAAAGTCAGCCGTGACTTTGTACTTTGCTTGGCTCGCACGCGAAAGCGTACTTATTTATGTATGTATGTATATACATACTAAATATTTGCATATTGACAAGTGCCACAGAATCCAACTTCTAGTGTTCCGCGATTTATGTATTTGCAGAATGTGGATAAAAAGTGAAACGAATAATTATGTAAACCATACTTAAATGTGATACATACATAGTTATTAAGACAAATTCTGCTTGAAAAGGTGAGTTGTGAGATATACATATGTATATATGTAAGTACATTAGGGCGTAGTAATTTCTACGGTGCAAAATTTTTGAAGAAAGTGTATAGCAAATTCAAGTTCTACGATTAATTCTAAGCAAATATGGCGAACAAACTATATACCTAAAATGACGTTTGACTCTACCACTTTTCAAAGAAAAAGCAGTAGATAGATAGATTGTAACTTTTTTGCTCGAAATTTATTTTTCATTGTACCTAAAAATTTTGCACATATTTTTCTATTTTTCCGGTTGTGTGAAGTAGTTTCTTATACATGAAGAAAACACAAAGTTTTGTAAATGAAAAATTAATTTCGTTCAGAAAATAATCTAATGCACTAATTTTTCTTTTAAAAATTGGGAGGGTCAAACCTAATTTTAGGTACATAGATTACTCACCACTTTGCTTCGAATCGAGCGTAGAATTCGAATATGTCATACACCTTTTTCGAATAAATTACTCCGCCCTAATGTACATACATATATAGATGCATAGTAGGAAAAGTACTCTATAATTTTAATTGAAGGGAGTAATGCCTAATTAAATAGGCGAGTGAGTTAAAAGCGAACTAAATCACCAGAAAGTATCATATGTACATCTGTACGATTGGAGGCTGAAAAGTTTTGAGCCTAAGGTATTAAAATTGCTGATCGAAATGTATACAAATTTTATTTTTCTATATAATCTTCCTCGACCTCAATACACTTTTTATATTTCGAAATGCTCGTCTACTGCCGCCTTCATGTCTTATTCACTTGAAAGTCTTAGCTCTCCGAGGTTTTCCTAGAATTTGGAGAACAGGAAGCAATCGCTGGCGGTCAGGACAGGACTGTACGGTGGGTGGTTGATTTCTTCAAATCCAGTCTCGTTCAGGGCGCTCTTTCATCTCGCGCAGTGTGAACGGGTGCATTGTCTTGCAAAATCAGTACTCCTTTGGCCTCACCGTTTTTCGACAGCCACTTGACGCACTTTTGTCGTGGCATCATAGCCTCCATTCATCTTACTTCTTCAAGAAGTAACAAAACAGAATACCTTCATAATCCCAAAACAGTGGCCATGAGCTTGGAATGCTGATCTCTTCACTTTGAATTTCTGTGGTGGCTTTTCTCCGTTTTCTCTCCACTGCATAAACTCATGTTTTGACTCTGGATCAAACTGCCGGATCCATGTTTCAACCACAGTG